GGGTTCGACATCTTCCTCCAACACGTTTTTTTAACTTTTATAATAAACTCATAAAAGAACCGAATGATAAGTTTGCTAAAGTTATCATTGGGTCTAAAACCTAATTACTTATAATTAATTAGGTATGTATCTACTCTTACGTGTTATATTGTATGAATGTTATTATGATGGTAGAATTGGTAATAGCATAATATATACTATGGTAATAGGTATGTAGTTGTTGTCAAGGATGTATATTAATTATATTGTTCGTCAGCAGAAAATCACCTTTCTTACTCTGAACATCTACAATGTAATAATTATGTCAAGGACAAGCGAAGGAAAATTCGAAAATTAATCGACACACCTGAAGGAAGATTAATTATAAGTTTCCGAGTTTGTCCGTAGGTATAATTTATTACTTAGCCCATCCTATATATTGAAACTACAGCGTAATAATAATTATGAGAGACTGGCGTATAATAGTACGTGAGTTAGAATTTGTATAAGTTACAAATGAGGGACAAAAAAGGGAGAGGGATGATTACGTACGAGGCGGTGTCCAAAGAAAGTATCATAACCTTTTTGGGCCGAATACTTGGCGGGGATTTTTTATGGAACTAAGAAATATTTTTTGGAGAATTTCCCACATCTTTTTAGTGTTGTTTTTGCTCATTTTTATTTTTGGAACTGAGGGCTATATAAATATTCCAAGGCACATCGGTCACCCAAGCGTAGTTCAATGACATATAATTCATAAAATCCGCCCTGTATGTGTCTCCTGTCTCAACCGATTTGAATCTTTTTTTAATCTTCATCAGAAAGCAACCCGATTTTCTCTACCTTTTATGGTTTTTGAGTATATCTCGTGGTGTGCACTGTTTTTCCTTCTTAATAGTACAAAATGTATATTTCATGTTAGTTAATCAGAATTAACAGAGTACACCTCTGCAATATTTACTAAAGGGAAATTTCTCGTACAAAAATAGAGTGTAAGGTGCAAACTGCTTTGGAAATAACCTGTTAGACTAATTTACTGTTGTCCTCCATATGTGGCCGTGCTTAGAGACGCCTTGGCTTCTGTGGATTTATAAATCGCTTCGTATATTGCTTTTACTTGCTAAAACTTTCTCAGCTTCCATTTGTGATGATTTTACTCTCAACAGATATGGCAAAAGTTTTGCGCTTTCCTAAATTGTTTTTGTATAGCATTACATGCGTGTCACATATTTAATACAACGGGAGTAGCTTCAAAAGCCATCACGACTAATCGACGCAAGTTTTATATTTTAGAATGCATAAGCAAGTAGGTTAAGGGCAGTTATAACCTATTTTTAAGGATACAGTTACGTGTTGAACTTTTAAAGTTCTAAATTACATGCAGGCATTCACACGCTTTTCAACGTAGTACATTTTTATTATCTCCATTCCTTTCCTTCGTCTTCCATTCTTTATTAGGTTACGCGTCGCATATCTTTATGTTTTCGTCGGGATCCGTCAAAATATGTTCATGCTACCATTCATGAGTGCCCTCGTAAATTAATTTCAAAGGCAAAGGGAATATACCTAATTAGTGTGAAGCCTTTTTATCTTTGAGGGGTAACATTGGTTCTGATTGTGTGTAAGATTGTCGTTCTGGATTAGCTTGCTCATCCAAATAACCTCGTCACAAAAGACGAGATATCGGCACTGGAAAGTCGATGAAAGCTCATTTGATATATGTAGGTCTCCCATTAGTGCAGCTAAAAATGTTTTTTTCCTAATCACTTTGCTATGATGCCTAAACTTGAGCAGAATTTGCAGTTGATTACCAATTTAGTGGAGGAAACGGGAAAACACATTGTTTTGATGCACAAGAGTTCTGCTTTTCTGTAAGTTGGTAGAGCAAAATCTTCATTTAGTCGTTGCGTACACTGCAAAATGTATTACCTTGATACACAATAGCTAACTTATGTTCTTTTTAATCTCGATTATTTTTTGGGAAATTTCCTGGAGAACGCCACTGGAATAGGTAAGGGCAAGATACATCTGCGTATTTTTAATGCGCTATCGTCGTCTGCACATAGATTTTTGAATTGTTTTACTTGCACGGCACGACTTTCTCATTCGACATACTAACCCCTAAAAAGGGAATAAAAAAGGAACTTTGGTTCCTAACGACTCAAAAAAAGTCTTTTCACTCCCTAAATATTCCATAATTTAAATAAAAAGGGCTACGACGTGAAGCGGTTACAATAAACTATAGTGCAGGGAGGTCTACAGAACTACCCCTGAGGGTGCTCGAAAGTTTTTTATCCTTTTTTTTTAAATAAAGGAATCTCTAGTTTACAGATCTTATTTATTTATTTATATATTTATTTATTTTAGGCCTTCATTTTTGAGATAGGCGGGGTTTTATCAAAGGCTGCTCTACCAACCCAACCCACTATATATTATTAAATAAACGGATTATACCTTCCCCATGTAATTTAATAATAGTTGGCTATAATTTTATAAAAACACGTCTAGTTTCGACGTTTCCGTCATCTTCAGGTGAAAAATAAAAGGGTTGGTTGTAGTTTACCATAATTCAGGTAGTAGAGTAATTTAAAGGTGAAAATACTTGTTGTATCGATAAAGAATAACGGAGGTGTAAAGGGGCGGGAGTTTTTATGTTTTTAATAACATTGTAATTAAGAGCAGGTTCGTTGGAACCACACGATCTGTAGTTACTGGGGTTGGTTAAAAAAGGGGTTAAAATTGAGTTACATTTCAAAAATCTTAGGTAATACGATGAAGCCTTTAATGTTTCACCTGAAAATGACGGAAACGTTGAAACTAGTCGTGGTTTTTATAAGATGATAGACAACTATTTTTAAATTACAAGGGTTTATTTAATAATTGGAACTGCATTTCGAGCCAGAATGGACAACATATTCCACTATATATTTACAAATATCCATGCCCGAGCCAGGGACCCTTAGTACCGGGCAGCCGAGTTTCAACTCAATCGCGCCACACGGGCCGAGTTCGAGGTGGCAACTCAAAATTTTGGTTTCGAGGTAGAATTCTGACAGTAACAGTAACAGAATAAAGTGTAACTTTAAAAGGTACGAACCAAAGCATCCTGAAATCCATTTACTATGGAATTGAAGGGGTGACCAATTGTAACGGTAGCTCTTTGCATTTACATTTTTTGTTCCAGATTTCGTCGTAAGTTAGAAATGTGGACAATTCTAAGGTAAAACGATTAGGCATTACGCATCAGAAAAAGTTGTCGAAATTTAGATGGTTGGTTTCCCAATAAAGGATTTGATTAGTGGAATAATATTCGTAAACAGTAATGAAAATGACGCCTGTCGTTGGCAGCGTCGGTTAATTTCAATAGCGGTTTGTTTCTTAAAATATCTCGGAAACCTCGGAGACTCGATGTCTGGAATGGAGATCATATTCAGTCATTTCAATTAGGGCTACTGACTTACAATTGCGAATTCGGCGTGATGTCATGCAACAGCGTGGAACCTGCGAATTTGGTATATTTCAAAAATATCTTACTACCATCGGAAGTGTGTTTCCAGGAGACGTGTGAGACCCTCTCCCGCAGTAGACGTATATCTGTTGCATGGAGGCCTCAGTGTCCCCAATTTTTGCCCCGGGTTGTTCAAGAGGATCTTACGAAGTTTTTTAACTTCAGGAAGACTCCATGTTACCACAGAAATGCGGAATTTAATCAACTAATTAATAATTAAAGATTCTCGTTTTAGCAACCGAGGCGACCAGTGTTGGTCCATACAAAAATTGGTATATGATTCACGTTTAAACTCTCGACGTGGATTTTTACTACAGACCGCGTGGTCTCTGAGAAAATTTGAGAATAATACGCGTATTTGGGTTCCGTTTACCACCAGTATTTGTGTTTGGAATGGAATAAAAAGAAAACGGACCGCATTTCTAAGTGAATTAATTAGAAGTTTTTGTTTTAGAACAAAAAACGGAAGTGCAGTTGGAAAGAGTAAAAAAACATTACCGTTGTGAAATGGTGTTTCCGTGACATAAAAGCGATAAAAATCAACCGTGTTCGCGGTCAAGCACAACTAATTAAACGCGCCAGTATATTTTCATTGACATCGAGCTATTGTTAAAAATTTCAACATTATGGTTCGCTGTCCCTGAAACTAAAACTGAGATTGCGTTTTGTTTTCGTAGTAGTAGTCGCAGTAGAAAAGTTCTATTTTTGCATTTGTTTATTAACTTCAGGTACACAAGTTAAAGCGTTCGGTATTTCAAGGTGAGCAATCTCTAAACAAAGAATTACTCACAACGTGGAATAAATTCCTTATCATTTGTCGAGGTGAAAGTTGTTTATATGTATCACGATAGTGGTCAATGGAGGGCATTAAAACTGTAGTCGTGTATTGATGGTCGAAGTGAGCAGTAGTCAGTGTTGTCAGCTGCCAAGGTGAGTTTTCTCACTGAGTAATCTAGCTTTACTTTATTAGCGTAATTATTACGTAGGGAGATTAGGTCATGTGCTCTGCGTGCTTTAGTTTCCCTTAGCACATGTTAATGTGTAACCAGCAACTACTTAGCGCTACACGTTCCCTTGTACTTGGTGATGCGAGCTATGTCCCTTGAGCTAAGTATTCGTTATGTGCTTTCTTCCTCCCACACATTACCCAAAATGGCTCATGCGTGCTTTGTTCCCTTCATGCCATGCAGTCTACTGACTCAATGATGACTCACTCAAATTGGTCACAAAAAAGTCTGTATAGTTTTGCTAAATTTATAGAGAACATCATTTTATTTCTTCGTTAATAATGTTACGGTATTTTCGTGTTTGAGTGTTAGTAATACCGGCACAAAAAACTAATTTTGAAGTCACATTTCAGAGAAAGAGCAAAAAGGAAAATTGTCGAGTAAACTTAACAAAATCCTGTTTTAGGAAGGGAAGTTCAGCCCCGTTATATTGCAAAAGCCTGTTCCACAAAATCACGCAGTTTTTTAATGGATCATATCACTCCTCTACTAGAGTGGGTACTTACTATTTCCATCAACATAAATTGAAGTCCACGCCATTTGAGCATTGCAGATGTAGAATAGGCATAGCTCCCCCAGCCATAATAAAATAAACGGTTGCGAGAAAGGCATCGATTAGTTACTTCGCTGCTGGGTTACTTATGACGTCCAGAAGTCATATCGGCGGCTTGTGTGAAATACTTCGTCACAGGATGATGCATACCATTGTTTTTCAGATGAAAATTCATGACTGTGGTGAATTCTTCCTGAAAAGAAGAACGCATTAATAACGTATCCATTGTGCACCCAAAGTGACCAAAATGTTAGGTTCGAAGCACCACATTAGCATATAAGCTAAGAAACGAACGAATGTTTAATTAAAAAGAAATATTCTGCGCGATCGTCTTCGTAATCTCCCTTTTGCGATTTACTGAAGTTTGTAAACGAGGCGTAACCGCTAGGATTCAAAGAGAGTTTGAATTATAAGTTAATTTGGTATTTATATCCTTTACTTTCGCTTAAAGCTTAAATTTCTAAAATTTAATTTAAAAAACAAGCTCTACAAATTGATGTTGGCGGCAGTATATTTCCCGTAAAGAAATTCAAAAATCTGCATTTACAAGATTGTATTTAGTAACACAAGTTGTTCTTCGACTTTTATTACGCCCTTTCAGCAAAATTTATTTATCCCAAGAATGAGGAATTTTTCGGCTGCGTACGTCGGTACTTATTGCGGTTCGCCAATTGACGTTTTTATTTTAAATAGAAATTAAGGGAGGTTGACAGAAAATTTAGAAATAAAAGAATCCGAAGTGGATCTAAATTAATATTACAAAGCAATTTTTAATTAGAGCGGAATGAAAGTTTTACGTTTGGGATTTCATCAACTGTGAGTTGTACCTGCTTAAAGATTCATAGTGGGGAGATTTTTGGTACCATGGACACTTGCGTCCGGGTCACTGGCGTCCAGGGCTTCAAAATATTGTTCATAATACTCACGTCACTATTGTTAATGAAAGTGACTTTGCAAAAACGTTTTATTGCAGTATTTGCAGTTGTTTAAAATGGGTTGAGGTATTTTGGAAAGATGAACGCACATACAAAAGTTATTTATTTATTTGTTTATAGGAAACAACCTGGATCCCTCAGAATTACGTGTCTTCACTAAATGGCGACAAGGAAAGTTTGACGTATTCAACATGTCTACTATTTGGGAGTTTCGTCGTAGTTCGGTGCAAAAGGTGAGGATATAAAAGAGATCTCTATTACCAAAGACTATCCCTCCTCCAGTCTTTTCTATTGCGCACGACACGTTCAGAACTTTATTTAAAATATTAGGCGAGTCTTTTTGGCCATTCATAAGTTTATTAAGAAACGAAGTTTTATAACTTGTCTCATATTAGTGGAAGTAAGGTCCAATAATTTTTGAACTGGAGTGTGTATTGTATTATGAATATTTAATGAGTTGGTTCTGTACTGAGTTACTGACCCATATCTGACCAATGCGTCAAGCAAACGCGTACGGCGCTCGCAATAAACGGATTGTTATGTAAAAGCACATTTTCATTAAAAAAATTGTAATTTTTGAAACGGAAAAGGACTATACACAATATACGAATCAAACAAAGAAGTTTGAGTACCACAAAAATTACAACCCTCACGATAAACAATAAAATACTTTAGAAGCGTATGTACCTACTTATCTTTAGAAAATTAAGACTAATAGTTATTGCTTTAATTGTTAGCATTGTACACTAAACATTTTGTCTGGAACACTGGATCTTTAAAACAACATTTTTTAAAAGAAGCTTTTTATGGTATCCAAAATCAGTTTAGTAGCTACTTTAAATTTGTGGTTGGTGGTGTACTTCTGCATCGTCAAGGGGGGCATACTTTTTTATGGCAATTACTAGTTTTCATTGCATATTATTAAAGAGCACGCTTTTGGATATAACAACATAAAAAACGTCTTACATAATCAAATTTAAGAGAAAAACTCAAACTAGGGAAAACAGTTCCGAGATGGATTTCGATTTATGACAATCTGATTTGGATTGTTGTATTTTCAGTGGGTAAAGATTTTAGGTACGCATTTTGTAGGGTGTAAGGTGATGTTCCGCCTATTGAACCAGTCCTGCAGCTCATCTGTTGCTCTTTGGAGCGTTGATATTGCACCAATTAGGTCGTGGTCTTGAGTAATTATTGCCGTATCATCAGAAAACATTGCCAGCAGAGGCGAATAAAATACGAATTAATTATTTAGTTCAAAGTCATTTATTGACATAAGAAAGGGTCCCAAACCACGTTTTTGTAGCTAAAAAAGTAAAAAACCTTCAGTGGGGCCCCCTGTGTTTTAAGAATGACCCCTCACTAGGGAATGCAATACCGGGATCGCGGGATCCCGAAATACCGTGATCCCGCAGCATTTTTGCGGGACTAATCCCGCACATAAATGGAGCGTGATCCCGCGGGATTTGCGGGACTGAGGAATTTGTCGACCAAGGGGGCGACTCTGTTTGCTTTGTTAATTAAACGCATAAGGGAGAAATTATTTTTAAAATAATTGTTAAATTTTTTTCGTTAAAAATGTACTATGATTTTTGAGGCACTTTAGAAGTTCACCTTTTTGTGCTTTACAGGTGATTTTTTTGAGTTCTAAGTTAGGCTGAAGGTACTTTTTTGTTGAATATTGTGATAATTTTGCGATTTATTTTAATACAAAAGTTAACCGCACAAAATTGCTTATTTGCCAATTTATTTAAAATTATGCGGGATCCCGCAAATACCGGGATCCCGCGGGATTAACATCTAACGATCCCGCAAATACCGGGATTGAGATTCTGCTGCGGGATTGCATTCCCTAGCTGTAACTTTTGAACTAGTAGCCGAATCTTGGAACTGTTTGAAATTATAGATTCTACAGGCCACGTTCTATAAGAAAATTTTTTTTCCGGGTCGATCTGAGACAATTTTTTTTTCGGGCTCAAAAAAAGGAGTGTATAAACCTTCCTTTTTTTTTTACCAAAAATCGACTGCACCAAAATTTCTCGGGAAAACACTTTTTCTTATTAATTTTGGTGCGTAGAATCCAAAACAATTCGTACTTTTCCGATTAGACTTCTCAATCAAAAGTTATAGACTAGAAACCAATTTCGAAAGAAAATTCAAAGGGCTGTAACTTTTGAACAAGTAGCCCAATCTTCGAACTGTTTGAAATTGTGGATTCTACAGGGCACATTCTATAAGAATTTTTTTTCCCGGTCGATCTGAGACCATTTTTTTTCGGGACTCAAAAAAAGGCAGTGTATAACCTTCATTTTTTTACCAAAAATCGACTACACCAAAATTTCTCGGGAAAACACTTTTTCTTATTAATTTTGGGGCTTAGAATCCAAAACAACTCGTACTTTTTCGATTAGAGAAAACAAATCACAAAGTAAATAATTAATTTGTTCTATGAATTTGTTATACTGGTAGCGCTATCTAACGGTAAAATTATAGCACCTCCGAAAACCATATCGAAATTTTTTTCTTTTCTTTTCGATCTCACAAGTAATCTAACTCAAAATAGACTAGAGCCTGCACATCTACACTATAGCAGAAAGCTTTTAGTGAAAATTTTAAGTCTCTAGCTATTGTAGTTGCTGAGATCTCACCCGGACAGCCGGCCAGCCAGCCATAACGAATATAATATCGTTAGCGTATTTTTTTCAAAAATGCGCTAAAAAATATACAGCGAGTTTTGTGAGAAAGATTTCTGCATTTTAAGACCGTAAAAGCGGAGTGGAGGACGAAACTAGAAATAATTAAATTACGAGTATTTAAGGAAAAAGCATTCAAACCCACTTATAAAGTAAGATTTACAACCAAAAAAGATTCTCACTGGTGGTACACGCCAAGAAATACTCCTTTTGAAGAAACCATTATATTTATAAGAAATATTGAACCAAACCCAACATAAATCAGATAATCGAAAATCCTAAAAGATTCTGGAAGGTTAAAAGTAATCCTTAGATTCAACTTCGATATTTAAATTAACCCACCATATTTCTTTAATTTTTAAAGTTTATAAAAGATTTAAATGCCCGTGGCCGTGTGCTCTTAGTGTAGAGCTCAGAAAGCAACTCGTAAACTAAAAGCTTAGAATACATTAAAAGCTTTGGATTTCAGCTTAAAACCGCAAAATTCGTAAAATGTGGCATCAAGCTTAAAGTATGCCACATAAAATTCCAACTAAAAGTTGAGAATGCATTCAGAGCTTTTGCATTCCATCTTATAACTGCAAAATTACAAATTTAAGGTAAAGTTTGGCACATAAAATTCACACTAAAAGCTCAAGGAACATTCGTATAGAAATTTATTTTTGCAAGCCTGAAGTTTGAGACGTAACATTTTAAATGGCAAGTTTAGGTGCCATTTCGGCTTAAATCCGATAAATTTGAAATGTAGAGCTTGAAACTTGTAGAATATAGTTTCAATCTGAAAGGTTTGACTACAAGCTTAAAAGACATTCTTAACTTTGCATTTCAGCTTAAAGCGTTAATTCGCCTTAGACCGCATCAAAGTTTGTTAATTGCACCAATACCAAATGTCGAAAAATTATTGTTTAAGATATGGACAAACGGCATTTTTCAAAAAGATTGAAATATGAAAGCTAAACGAAAATCGCTAGGTACTCTGAAAGGGTTCATTCGAAAACATTGAAAGCTCTTCTATACTGAAGAGCACGATGAACAATTTCGTTTCATGAAAATTGATAGATTTGGCTTAATTGAGCAATCGACTGTAAACAAAAAAAAAGCTAATTTTAAATCAACGTATGCCACTGTGTACAAACCATGTCAAGAAAATCAATAAAACTTTACAATGTTTATAAACCATGGTTACATATTATGCACACATCATTAAACAATTACGCTAAATGACAGCCGTAGTATGCAATTAATGTTACCTCTCTTATGTAAGTGTAATTATGTACAGAACATCAATTACACTTATTGTTCGCATTGCATGTAACGTAACGTAATTGTATACACGGAAAATACGACAGGCCCCGAAATTTATCCACGCGACGCATCATAAAGTGCATCGGTGCCGTTACATTTCAGGCGTACCCTCCACTGCGCAAAAAAGCCTAATACAAATCACACACAATTTAAGTACGGGTACCCTCGGCCAAAAATAAAAGGTAAGGTACCTGCCGCGGGATGAATCCCCAATATAACTTTATATAATGGCACCTGTCTGTAAATTCGACACGGTGAATAAAAAATTAAAGGAATGC